TCTACCAGATTTAGAATCTGGTAGATGGAGAAAAACACGGCAAAAACAGCAAAACAACCTAGCAGCCGCCTGTGCGCGGGTGAACGGGGAGGCCACTCCTCCTCACAGGCCGATACAGAAATCAGAACGTTTGCACAGAATTTACAATAATTAGTACGAATAAATTTTACTGAGGATGTATGAATATGTGTTAAATTGTATTGCAGTGAAGGAACTCGGCAAAAGCATTTAACTTCCTAACTGACCTTACAGCAATTTGCGCCGTCATTGCACCATTGGTGCTGGCCGAACGCGATGGCGAATCGGTTTATTTGATGTTGCCGCGCACCCGGCTATAAAACTCACTACGAGCGAAGACAACCTTTCACTGCTTTCTGCTATAGTGAATCCGGGTTTCTAGCTGGTGTGCATTGTGTGCAAAAGCCCATTTACCCGAAACCCGGATTCACTTTTCTCAGAAACTGCGAACCGCAGCACTTTCGTGAAAGATTAACATTTCGGTTTATTTGCGTCCACCGCGCGATCACTCAACCAGTTCTCCACTGAACTGAAGATGACTTGTGAAGAATTATTTCTTTCTGCATATAATTTTGGCGTGTGATTGAATCACAGACATTGCATTGTACTCCGTGATCTGAAACTGCGTCAATATTGCTCGTTAGTTGTGACCGTTATCGCACATATCCTGGTGTGATCTCCATCTCCTGCCGGTGTCCTCCAGACTGCATCTTTACCTCAGCTTGGGAGCTCTTTCATAGTACTACCAGGAGCCTTTTGGGAATCTATGAACCTGGGTCAAGTCGGACTAAAGGCGAGGGGATTCCTTGGTGTGTACCACTCTCGGACGCGAGCGAGCGGCGGAAATCCAAACAGTTTCCAGTCTGCTCTTCCGGTTTCCGGCGGGCATCCGCCCACGGCCTGCGGCAGTCCCCACAGCGCCGTCCACTTGCTGTAGAGTAAGTGCGTTGTACGCAGAATACAGTGTGCGTGATTTCATAAGAAACAGCTTCGGCTTCGCCTCCGCGTTTCTGGTGACCTGACGTGGCTTTGGGGGTTTGCTAATTTCGAGTATGGTCGTGAAGCCAGTGAATGAAACAACTGCATAGGACTGCAGTGAAAGGTCATCCCGTAGGGAAGTTGCTTCACTGCACAATGACAACTGTGGGATTCTCTTGCTGTCAGCCTCCGTCTACGAACTCTCGTACTACTTACTGTAGCTGTCAGAAATGCGCGCGAATTTTATAAGTGCTTTTATGTAAACGGTTTTCGAAAGGCATTCACTACGAGCATCTCAATTTTATACTTTGCTCATTCGGATTCTGCATGTAAATCTTGAATTTCTACGTTTCCGCAGGTACAATCTTGAATTATCTGCTTTTACTAATCTAAAGTAACCAAAAGATTCTGTAATCATACATTTTGGGCATTCGTTTGTTTTTACTTTTGCTCGTTCGCGCCGATTTTAGCGGCTTGAAGCCTTGAAGAAGTCCTGACGATAATCGTATCGTCGCAATCTCATTGGTCGGTTAGCGACATACGCTCATTCGCTTCGCGATACCTAGTGCAGATTTAGATACGAAAGTTATCAGTTATTAGTCTGTTTTCGGTTCGTTCCATGAGCCAATCAAAGTTTACGCGATATTGTGACATAGAACTTGATTTTTTGAGTGTTCCTTGAATATACTTAGATATTGTTCTTACTTTTGAAAAATAACATCTCCTTAGTCATCGAAATAATGCTTGCGAATTGCCCGTTGTGTTATGAATTAGGAAATCTTTCTGCTTTAGCGCTCATCCGTGAAACTTTTCCAAAACCCGTTGCACCGGCACGCTAGTAGCGAATTTGCAGTTAGCACTTCTTTAATTTCTGTTCGGCGTTTCCGTCTGGACTACGCCTTCGCGACATCCTCATCCAGCGCAACCGTGTTTGGCGCGCATTCCGTCTGGAACACTGCTGGATTATGTTCTGCAGAGGAGTCGGCGTGTTACCGACAATGCGCGCCTGCACAAATTGGAGATCAACTAGTCAGGAAATCAGCCAACCCGACGTCGACGGTAAACAGTTTTGCCCACTAAGTATCCGGTAGAAGAGTCCTCAGGACAGCGCTAGCTGGTGAACTTGTGGCTAGAAGTGACCAGAACGGTGGCACGCGGAATTTACAGCGCAAACAACTTATATTAAAATACATAAACAAGGAGATAAATAATTATTATGAGTACGGAAAGAACACCAGGAAAACATACATAGTAAATAAAATACCATTTTTAAAAATGCATGTTGAATACGTATTGCGTGGCTCATATCGTTTACGGGTACACCGAGGTCGCGTTATCGGTTATACTGTTGACTCCACAATTCTGAGGCTACTGTATCTGTAAACCGGCTGCGCAGATGGCATGGAAAGAATGTGTATCCCAGTTTTGCGTAAAGCAGGATGATGATTTGATTCTTTATAAGTGATAAACGTCCAACAAAGGAAGCAATTTAAACCTGTACGCAGGAAATTATTTGTGCTTAGAATGCATTCTTTAATACTTCGCGCTGTGCGTAGAATGCCTGGATTTGAACAGACGGTCGTTTTACATGTATGGATTGGCTGTTTTTGCATTATGTAAAGATTTTCGCTAATTTCCGTCATCAGTTCTGTGTATCGATAAGTCTTGGCTTGGGAACTGGTGCGCAGTTTGTGCAGATTTGAGAGAGCAGAAGAAACTTTTATTTGGAAATTATTCGCGTGCGTACAGAGTAGGTGTAGGTAGTTCGCCGTTCGGAGCAGAGGTTCTCACTCTACCGATTCTCTACGAGATTCGGCCATCATGTGCGATATTTTACCTACTAAATTTTTGAAGTCCTTTCAAGTTTTTGGGACGTGAAAGTTTCGCAAAGCAATTTCAGTAGAAAATCCGTCTTCACTGATCATGAAAATTGAATGTAAAAGAATTGTATAAGCTACAGAATTACAATTATGTCTATGCATATTTGTTTTGAAAAAGATATGAAATCTTCAGCGGTGGCCTTTGCGTCATAAACTTTAACGCTTTCGGTGTGGTTGAGTTTGGCGTGCGTTACACAGCACACAGTCTGCATTAGTGGCTGAAGCGCCAAAAATTGTAATTCAGCAGCCGATGGATCGATTCACACTGGGGCAGTTCTTTTTTATCCTGAAGCGAGCTACGCCTCGCCAGTTATCCCGGAAATGCAAAGTACAGGCGTGGCACCGAGGGGGGTGTATGTTATGGCGTTAGGCGAAAGATGTATTGAAGGAGTGATAGATTATGCGCTCCTGTTACGGCTTATTGAATGCAAGACATAAGCCGGCCCAAGGTCGCCGTCCTCTAATAAAAACAGAATCGTACGAAAAATAATAATAAAAATGGATAGCAAATACGTAAGTGTTTTTCTTGCTGTATTTTATTAAATTTTAATGGTGTGTGACCATATTCTCGATGAAACCCGCAATCACACGAATTATTTTCTTGCTTATTGCAGTGATAGTTGGTGTACATTTCACTTCATTCCTGCATAGAGTGCTAACGGACAAATAATTACTGCTTTAATTTACAATTTTCTGAATTATTTTATAGGTTTCCTGCTGGGGGCGAGCCACGCGGCGTCGGCCGGATTCTGCTAGGCGCGAACCACGCGGTGTCAGTTGGATCCTGCTAGGCGCAAATACCGCGGCGGCGATTTCGTACTTCGGTAAGGTTAGACGTGTACAGTATTGCTAACAATTAACGATTAAAGTAAACATATTTAACAGCGGATGCATTAGTCTGGCTGATCTCCGCCGCGGGATTTCTTAAAATTATTTGCAATCACGGTTTCGCAATCGTAACTCATCATTGTCAGAGGCTTATACTTAATAGTTGTCGTCTGTAGTCTGCAGTACGCATAACTTTGCTTTCTTGCCGCCTTTGTCCACTGTGCATCGGTTATGGTATTCCGTGTAGAGTGCGCTGGTTCGCGCTATGCACTGCAGTCGGTGTGTTTTGCGGTAAAATTGCAATACAGTTCGAGGATATATAACCAGTTAGAGATTTTGCCTTCCAGGTAACAAACAAGACTTTGTCTCGAACGTTGGTATGGTGACCTTTAAACCACATTAATTTTGGAGACAATGGATACGCTGCACCCAAAAATCAGTATTAGGAAACAAATATTGGAGAAAGCAAGCACGAGAAAATACGAGATGAGAATAAAAATGTGAAAAGAATAAGAATTAGTAAGAAGATGAAGACTAAGGACAAGAATATGAAAATATCACTTGCATTGTTTGTACAATGTGCAATAAAAGCTGCCTTTGTTATAATTACGTACCAACGCGTCACATCAGCCGCACAGCGGACTGCCGCAGCAGCCGGCGCATCAGCATTGTACTGCGTGGGACGAATGCTATACTTACTGTATTGTCTTTGTACGGCTGTTACATAAAGTTATTGGCACAGAACATTTGGGGAATCCTAGTTACCGCATACGTTTATTAGAAAATTAATCATAAGAAAACATTGGAATTGTTAGTGTTAAATTAGTACTGAAAAAGTTATTAAAAAATTATTTGTGTTAAATTATTAGTGTTAAATTAAACTATAAATTAAGCTGGGAAACGATGTGAATACGTAGAAAAATCAGCTTTGTTTAAGTAGTATACACACGGCTTTTCATTATTATAAACGTAAAACGTATTCAATAAATTTGTCTTTATTATAATGCTAAGTTCATTTCGTTGATGTTTTTCTAAATTTATTTTATAAATTATTTTTTGTCACTACAATTGATTTTAGTACCTCCGGTTCTAATCACTTCAATCTGATTCTACATTTGGTGACCTTTATGATTGCATTGGCTAAGCACCGAAATAAAGTGATCATTCATGATTTACGTAATTGGCGTTCTCTCTGTCTTTCCTTCTCGCATTCTTTCGCTTCGCCTTATCACGCTTGTACATTTTTAGTTACAATAAGCTAACAGTTTTGTTTGCAGAGAGTCCCGAATCCGAAGAATGTACTGCAAACCTAGTAAACGGCTGAACCCCCAGCATCGCAAGAACAAATACCAGCAGACTGCCTTTAAGGCAGGGCAGGTGGAGGCCAACAAAAAGCGGCGCGATGCTTTTTACCGGAACAACCCGCAGTTCGCGCCGAAGGCTGACCTCACCGCGCCCGCGCTCCCCACTAATCCCGGAGACGGAATCACAGCACCGCCTCGCAGGACTGCAAACAACAGCGGGAATGGCCAGCCAGTCTCCAATCAGCACGCGAGCGCCGACGCTGCGACAGCTGAACCAGTGACTGAACCTTCAAACACAGCTCCCCGCCCACGGATGCGCCGCAATGCGAAGTCTGCACCGGCCGCTGAGTTCTCTCCACGGGTCACGCGAGGGCGCGCAGCGATTCAACAACCAGCTGCCGCTGTCTTAAACCCCGGCCCTGTCCCTCCTGTACCGTCGGTCCGAGAGAAGGCATCCGCACGAAATCCAAGGGCGTCGCCGCATCGTCCCATTGCCAGGACGGGAGCATTGCCCCGTGGCGATGTGGAAGGCCAGCGCGCTGTCGCCCCACCACCGGCATTGTCAGCTGCAGCGTCGACAGCAGCGCCCCGGCCGCCCGGCACAAGGAAGCGGAATGCGGCCGCTCAGCCGGCGAAGAAGGTTCCCGTGGTGCCCGCTGACCCGCAAGACCCTCAACAAGAACCTCGAACTCTCCACGATACACCTAGACCTCCTTCACCTCGTCGGACGCGCCTTCAAGAACGGCGTAATCAAGAACCGGTGTCGTTGCCGATACGCAAAGCCGTTAAAGGTAGCATGTGTTTTCTTGTTTGCTGAAGCACCCGCATGCAGAACTCCGATAACCTGATTGGCTGGCTTTCGCAGAGTGCGGCGTGGCTTCTACTACACAGGTTTCGGCAAAACCGAATCGGGTTAGCGGGAAGGAAAATCAGCGGCACAAGCGCGCCGACCAGGAACAACCCACTGGGATAGGTCAGCGCATTTATTTTATGAAATTAAATGAAAAACGAGAAATGATTAAAAGTACAAAGTACCAAGCTAATAAATTATTAATTATAATGTGCAAAGGAGATAAGCCAAGTTTCTTTGCAGTTTTAGAGACTTTTTCCACCTTAAGCATTTATAATTTCCTTTTAAACTCATTCCTAAACTTAATTATTTTTTTTACAATACGGCAGCACTGAAATTTACCCTTTAACTGTTCAGAAACATCGTCCTTGCCAGTCGACCGCGTCGATCCGGCAAAAGTGTCACGTCGTGCAGGACGGGAGCCCGGTCTGGTCGGCGACGTCGCAAAGGTTGTCCCGGCTGTGCAAAACTCTGCGGAAGATCGTGTGTTGGCCCAAGCGCGACGCTCACCGCGGCCCACGGTGGGAACGGAGTTGAACGAAGAAGCCCAGCACGATCTTCTACGGATGTGTGCTCCAGCATATGTCGTTAACACGGGCGAATTGTTTTCCGACATGAATGTGAAGCGGCTGCGGAAAGTCTCAGAGGGTTCCTATAGCGATGTCTTCAGTGGGCGTCGGGGCAATGAAACGCTGATACTGAAGATTGTCCCAGTGGACGGGGTTTTCGTGAGAGAAGAGAAGCACGAGAATCAACTGCAGACAGCGGACCTGCTTGCAGAAGTTCAGATTTCGTTTAAACTCTCCGCTGACCTGCTCTCCCCCCGCGGCACCCACTTTGCGCCAATATTCATACGGACTCATTTCGTGACTGTAAGGGCCAGTAATCGACGCGAAAAAGTGTATCTGGATCTTTATTTTTTATTAATTAAGTTCCGTTGAAACATGGTGTCCTTGTTGTATCTTTTAGTTGGCCCAAGGCCCATACCCCAAAGAGTGCCGCAGACCGTATAAGAACTTCGCGTCGCTATATCCTGACCGTGCCATCAATCAAGACCCAGAAACCTATCCTCGGGACCAGCAGTACGTCGTTATAGCGTTAGAGAAAGGCGGAGTCGACTTGGAAGGGTTTGAGTTTGATAGCATCCGGCAAATTCTCTCCGTCTTTCGCCAGCTGGTGATTGGAATCGCCATAGCCGAGGATAAGATGCAGCTGGAGCATCGAGATCTCCACCTTTCGAATATCCTCGTTAACAAGACCAGTAAAATCTTTGTGGATTTTAAGAGGTACGGCTAATTAGCATGTTGACCTTTAAGCTGAAATACGCAATAAGTATGGGAAAACATACTGCGTGGATTTTCCGTAGAGCCTGTCTGATTGACATAGTAAGGCGATATGGCAACGTGAAAAAAGGTGTTACATATGTACTTTTGTCAACAAAAAAGGACATCGAATGCTCTGTTCTTATTCTGATAAGAGTTATTCTGAATTGGAGCGGTCTGGCAGGCGGGAAGTGACCTTTTCGTTCTCTGGTTGCGTAGTGCATTTTTAAGAAAACGATATTTAATAACACGCCCACCGCTTGCCACGAAGTGGGTGGTGGACTGTGGTGTTAATTACATGGTGGTTTTGACAGTGAGGGAAATCGGTACCGGATTCCCACCGATGGCGTCCAAGTCCGCGTCATAGATTGGACTATTTCGCGGTTAAATGACGGAGAGAAGATATTCTTTAAAGATCTGTCGACGGACCCGGCAATCTTTGAAGGGGAGGAAGGTCATGCGCAGTCTGAGGTCTACCGCAAGATGCGGACGGCTACCGGAGAAGACTGGATGGGATTCCATCCTAGTACCAATAAGATCTGGTTGGAATACATCCACCAAGTACTGGTCGTACTGAGTGATGGGGAGAAGGTGTCAGCCGCTAAAGAACAACCCGACCGGACCGCTCAGAAGCAGCTGATAGGGGTGACGCCTCTCTGGCCGACCGTCACATCGGCCGCCGATTTGGTGACGAAAGCTGCCAAGGTTTTCAAAGAAGTTACGGTGATTCGTTGATCTGTCGGTTTGTGATAAACGATGTGCAATGTTGATGTTAAGTAAATGCTCCACTCTAGTCGTCAATGTGACTGGTATAAAACGTAGTGCTCTAATATGTTTTTATTTTTGAAATTTTTAAAGCGACGTGTGCGATTTATTGCCCGCAGAAAGATTGAATGGTTATTTACAGGCCAAACCTTTTCTTAGGCCAAAAGTCTGTTAAATTTTTTTGGCATGAAAATTGACTCGCTCTTGTCAATCCATCCTCCATTGGCTTCCTGTCGGACGACTCATTTTCTCTCCGCAGGTCACGCCCTTTACTGGCATCCTGTCGGGATAACTCCATGTCACTCTTCTCGCCCTTCGGATGGACAACCGCTTTCTTCTCGATTCCATCTCTGGCTTCACTTTGAGGATAACTCTCTCCTCCATTGCTTCCTCCGGATGGCACTGGCCATTCATTACTTTGGCTTCCATCACGGGATTCACTCGGCCTTTAGGATCGTCCTTCTGACCTTTCCTCTTTCTGGCCTTCTTTCCAGCATATTTGACATCCGCTGTCTCGGATGGAGTGGTCTGCATCCTTCGCTGTCGCTCCGCTCGAGGTGTCGTTACTCTGGGCACATACGAACCTCTGACACAAAGCTACATCCTTATCACGCCATTGTCATGTATTGAACGAACGGGACTTTGAGGCAATTTCTATAACAGTGATAGGTTCGAAAAAAATATTCAAGCTAACCCGTGCAAAAATAAAAGGGCGCGATTGCTGTTACTGCGACTGATTCGCGGATGTAAAACAGACTAGCTCGAAATAATTCGCTAACTGGATGGCCAGATTTCTCAACATAAATTTCAAATCGTCTTTAAAAAATTAACAACCGTGAAGTGCAGAATATGGGAATCGTCGAGCTAGTAGTTCAACCTCTCGAACCCCAGAAAAAATTCCATCAAAAATACGCAGCAACTGAGACTGTTTGCGAGCAGAACGCACCAGTGCGTAGGGACTAAGAGGCATTCTGTATCTGCAATAGGTATGAAAAAATTATTCCGATTCCCAGCGCAGAAAAAAGAGGGCTTGAATGCTGCTTCTGCGACTGATTCGCGGATGTAAAAACAAGCTAGTTCGAAATTAATCGCGAACAGGAAGGCCGGATTTCTCAACTTGATGTTCGAGACTACTTTAAAAAATTAACAACCGAGAAGTGCAGATTCTTGGAATCGCCTAGCTATTGGTTCAAGCTCTCGAACCCCAGCAAAAGAACCGTCCCAAATACGCTGCAATCGAGACTATTTGCGAGCAGAACGAACCTGTTTGTCGAGACTTGGAGGCAACTTCTCTACCAGTAATAGGCTTGAAAAAAATATTCCAGGGTCCCTGTGCAGAAGTGAATGGGCACGGAAGCTGCTACTGCGACTGGTTCGCGGATGTAAGAACAAGCTAGTCTGAAATAATTCGTTGAGAGGATGGCCGGATTTCTTAACTCGAAGCTCGAGACTTCTTTAAAAAATCAACAACCGAGAAGTGCACATTTTTGGAATCGTCTAGCTATTGGTTCAAGCTCTCGAACCCCAGCAAAAGTACCGTCCCCAAATACGCTGCAATCGAGACTGTTGCGAGCAGAACGCAACCGTTTTTCGGCACTTGGAGGCAATTTCTATAACAGTAATAGGTTCGAAAAAAAAGCTTTCCCGTGCAGAAATAAGAGGGCGCGATTGCAGCTATTGCGACTGATTCGCGGATGAAAAACAGGCTAGTTCGTAATAATTCGCTAGCTGAATGGCCGGATTTCTTAACATGAAATTCGAAACTTCCTTAAAAAATCAACAACCGAGAAGTGCAGATTATGGGAATTGTTTAGCTAGTAGTTCAACCTCTCGAACCCTAGCAAAAGTACCGTCCCAAATACGCTGCAATCGAGACTATTTGCGAGCGGAACGCACCTGTTTGTCGGGACTTGGAGGCAATCTCTCTATCAGTAATAGGTATGAAAAAAATATTCAAGGTTTCCCGTGCAGAAGTGAATAGGCACGGATGCTGCTACGGCGACTGATATCCGGATTTAAGAACAGGCTAGTTCGTAATGATAATTCGCTAACAGGGTGGCCGGATTTCTTAACTTGAATTTCGAAACTTCTTTAAAAAACAACAACCGAGAAGTGCAGATTCTAGGAATCGTCTAGCTAGTGGTTCAGGCATTCGGCCCCTAGCAAAAATACCATCTTCAGTGAGCTGCAATCGAGACTATTTGCGAGCAGAACGCACCTGTTTGTCAGGACTTGGAGGCAATCTCTCTGTCAGTAATAGGTATGAAAAAAAATATTCAAGGTTTCCCGTGCAGAAGTAAATGGGCACGGATGCTGCTACTGCGACTGGTTCGCGGATGTAAGAACAAGCTAGTCCGAAATAATTCGTTGAGAGGATGGCCGGATTTCTTAACTCGAAGCTCGAGACTTCTTTAAAAAATCAACAACCGAGGAGTGCAGATTTTTGGAATCGTCCAGCTATTGGTTCAAGCTCTCGAACCCCTGCAAAAGTACCGTCCCCAAATACGCTGCAATCGAGACTGTTTGCGAGCAGAACGCAACCGTTTTTCGGCACTTGGAGGCAATTTCTATAACAGTAATAGGTTCGAAAAAAAAGCTTTCCCGTGCAGAAATAAGAGGGCGCGATTGCAGCTATTGCGACTGATTCGCGGATGAAAAACAGGCTAGTTCGTAATAATTCGCTAGCTGAATGGCCGGATTTCTTAACATGAAATTCGAAACTTCCTTAAAAAATCAACAACCGAAAAGTGCAGATTATGGGAATCGTTTAGCTAGTAGTTCAACCTCTCGCACCCTAGCAAAAGTACCGTCCCAAATACGCTGCAATCGAGACTGTTTGCGAGCAGAACGCAACCGTTTTTCGGCACTTGGAGGCAATTTCTATAACAGTAATATGTTCGAAAAAAAAGCTTTCCCGTGCAGAAATAAGAGGGCGCGATTGCAGCTTTTGCGACTGATTCGCGGATGAAAAACAGGCTAGTTCGTAATAATTCGCTAGCTGAATGGCCGGATTTCTTAACATGAAATTCGACACTTCCTTAAAAAATCAACAACCGAGAAGTGCAGATTATGGGAATCGTTTAGCTAGTAGTTCAACCTCTCGAACCCTAGCAAAAGTACCGTCCCAAACACGCTGCAATCGAGACTGTTTGCGAGCAGAACGCAACCGTTTTTCGGCACTTGGAGGCAATTTCTAAAACTGTAATACGTTCGAAAAAAAAATCAAGCTTTCCCGTGCAGAAATAAGAGTGCGCGATTGCAGCTGTTGCGACTGATTCGCAAATGTAAAACAGGCTAGTTCGTAATAATTCGCTAGCTGAATGGCCGGATTTCTTACATGAAATTCGAAACTTCTTTAAAAAATCAACAAACGAGAAGTACAGATTCTTGGAATCATTAGGCTATTTTTTCAAGCTCTCGAACCCCAGCAAAGGTACCGTCCCCAAATACGCTGCAATCGAGACTATTTGCGAGCAGAACGCACCTGTTTGTCGAGACTTGGAGGCAATTTCTATATCAGTAATAGGTTCAAAAAAATATTCCAAGGTCCCTGTGCAGAAGTGAATGGGCACGGAAGCTGCTACTGCGACTGGTTCGCGGATGTAAAAACAAGCTAGTCCGAAATAAATCGCGAACAGGAAGGCCGGATTTCTCAACTTGATGTTCGAGACTACTTTAAAAAATGAACAACCGAGAAGTGCAGATTCATGGAATCGTCTAGCTATTGGTTCAGGCTCTCGAACCCCAGCAAAAGTACCGTCCCCAAATACGCTGCAATCGAGACTGTTTGCGAGCGGAACGCACCTGTCTTTCGACACTTGGAGGCAATTTCTATAACAGTAATAGGTTCGAAAAAAAAATTTTCAAGCTTTCCCGTGCAGAAATAAGTGGGCGTGATTGCAGCTAAAAATCGGATTACGTTCATAGATGGGATTAAAAGGACGAATTGTTTTGCACGTCAACGGTAGTTATCGTGAGATCGTAAACAGTTTGAACCGTTTTTAACTACCTAGAGCAACGTAGAATTGCACCGAACAATCATACGGAAGAGGATGGTATAGCACAAAACCGGATTTTGTTTAAACATGTGGTTGCGAAAAAGAATTGTTTAGTGGCGCCAACGGATGTATATCGCGGGCTTGCAAATGATGTGTCCTGTTTGTGGCCAGCTAGGCCAGCACGAAACAGCTCCATTTTTGCTGATGGAATGTTCTAGTACTGACCAGCTAATATCCATGGAAATATATAACCGTTATTGTATGATATCATATTCAAGTCCGCTTATCTACGGTCGTAGATTGACTTGCTTACTTTTGTTACTTAAATTAAGCCAAATAAATTTTCAGCCATTTCGTTCGATTTAACTTTTCGGCCTTCTCACTAGATTTTTAAAGGCTATTGTCAGGTTTTTTTCAAAAAAATGATTTTTTTTAAAAGTTATTCAGATGACCACTATTTTGCTGAGCGAGTAAAATCTCGAAAGTTTGAACCGAGCTCCGTGAGGTTGCTAATAGTGTGAAGCTTTTGTAGCTGCCTCGAGCAACGTGGAACAACACCAAACGGTCGTATGGATGATAACGGTGTAGCAAAAAATCGGATTACGTTCATACATGGGATTAGAAGGACGAATTGTTTTGCACGTCAACGGTTATTATCGTGAGATCGTAAACAGTTTGAACCGTTTTTAACTACCTAGAGCAACGTAGAATTGCACCGAACAATCATACGGAAGAGGATGGTATAGCACAAAACCGGATTTTGTTTAAACATGTGGTTGCGAAAAAGAATTGTTTAGTGGCGCCAACGGATGTATATCGCGGGCTTGCAAATGATGTGTCCTGTTTGTGGCCAGCTAGGCCAGCACGAAACAGCTCCATTTTTGCTGATGGAATGTTCTAGTACTGACCAGCTAATATCCATGGAAATATATAACCGTTATTGTATGATATCATATTCAAGTCCGCTTATCT